CAATCACCCTGCCTCACCCCACACAAGCTACCGATCACCCTGCCTCACCCCACTCAAGCTACCAATCACCGTGCCTCACCCCACACAAGCTGCCAATCACCCTGCCTCTCCTCTCTCTCTCTCTCTCTCTCTCTCTCTCTCTCTCTCTCTCTCTCTCTCTCTCTCACACACACACACACACACACACACACACACTCACTCAAACACGAAAAAAAAATCTACCAATCACCCTGCTGCATCACCTCGTTTCTAAGTGGGCAGTACTGTACGGACTCTCCTTGCACGATGATCAATCTAAATATCGACCACCTTCCGTCACCCAAGCATCGAGAGTGATCTGGGCATTTGAACGGATATTCTCTTTGCGCGGATATCCAATAAACCAAACGGATGTGGAGATCAGTCCCTGGGTGATGATGACACGGATCATTCCAAAATTGGAATGCGCAAGCGTTTAGATGACGAACTGTCTTCCCTTTTCGCCGATCAAAACGATATCTATATATCAATCAATCAATCAATCAATCAATCAATCACGCTAGCTGGAAAACACTTCCGCAATCCTTTAGGTAACTACTAAATTCCGAAAGCGCTGAGAGACCGACTGGAGTTGTGTAAGGCAACACAACAAACTCAGGCCAACCCGCGAACAGCAACGTCCAAGGGAAAGGCGGCCCCCCTGGCTAGGGAAACCCGGGGGGGGGGGGAAGGACGGAGGGAAGGGGAATTCTGACTGGCTTAGTCACGTGGCGCGATCGCCAACCAGTTCGTCGTCGGGATCCCTCGAAAGTCACAATCAAAGACGACTCGTTGGATTGAAGCAGAACGACAGCACCGGGATAACCTCTAGATTGACACGTCGTACCATTCGACGGAAGACGGGGGGGAAAAGAAAGAAAAATTATGACAAACAGTCAGATGACACGTTTGTACAAGGGAAAAGACAGATGACACTTCCGGGAAGATCAACCTTTTCGGACGCGCGAGCAGATATCAAGAAACGCGGAAGCGACGCAGAGCCTTTTTTAAGAATGCATGGAGAAAGGCAGCCAAGAAAAATAAGATTGCGATAAGAAAAAGGAAAAAAGATTAAAAAAAGATTTAAAAAAATGAAAAACAAGAATAAGAAAGACAAGGATAAAGAAAAAGATAGGGGGAAAAGGACAAAATAAAGCCGTTGAACAAGGACGCTGTGGCTGCAAGGGGAAGGGGGGGGGGGGGGGGAAGTGTTGGCCAATGATGGCTTCTACAACTGCCTTGCTCGGGAATTTCAATCAAGCAAGCAAACATGTGAGTGAAAGTGGATACCGAGAGATCCGGAATAGGAAAAAATATTTTGCCAGACCGCGGGAAATTCAATCAAGCAATCAAGCAATCAAGCAATCAAGAAAATAGAGCAATCAATTCAATCAGCCAGGAGAAGACTACTCTGCTGCATGCGGCATGTGTGTGCTCCTCCATCATCACATCATCAGCCGCCACGTGGCCTTCTGACGACACAAGAGTAGTACTTGTAGTCGGCTATAAACAACAGCGCGTGGGGGAGAGAGAGAAAGTAATCCAATCACCTGCCACGTGGCTTTCTACCCTGAAAACGAATCCAAAGAATCAGCAAGTTCGAATGGAACGCGCTGAGCAAAATCTGAAGCGGAGAATTTTTACAAAGGAAAAATATCAAGATCAAGAATATATCGTCACACCGTGTATATGTGGTACAAGAAGCGAAACGGGGGACAAACCAATCTGACCACTATTAAATCCAGGTCTGCACACCGGACCGTGGTCGCGATCCCTCACGCGATTCTGCACAGTGGGAAGAGCCCTATACCCTTCTGCCACGGTTTAAAGGGTGGTAATCTCTCTCTCTCTCTCTCTCTCTCTCTCTCTCTCTCTCTCTCTCTCTCTCTCTCTCTCTCTCTGTGTGTGTGTGTGTGTGTGTGTGTGTGTGTGTGTGTGTGTGTGTGTGTCTCGCTCGTTCGTTTGACGTATCGCGCTAGTGTCAGCGACGGTGATTTTACCGTTGCGCAGAAATAGATTTCCAGCACTCAAGACTCGCCGGAATCTCTCTCTCTCTCTCTCTCTCGCTCGCTCGCTCGCTCGCTCGCTCGCTTGCCTTATCTCGCGCGTGCGCGTTAAGGAAACTTTACCGTTATGCAGAAATAGATTCCCAGCACTCAAGAACCTCGAAGGTAATGACTCTCTCTCTCTCTCTCTTTCTCTCTCTCTCTCTCTCTCTCTCTCTGTGTGTGTGTGACACAACACACAACCCCAGATATACACCTCTCTCTCCGAATATACAGAATTTCTCTCACCCTGTCAATCAACCATCTAGCTGCCTTGCACGCCCCCACGTGTCAGCCCACCGCCAGATTGACCTGGAACGACTCTCTCTCTCTCTCTCTCTCTCTCTCTCTCTCTCTCTCTCTCTCTCTCTCTCTCTCTCTCTCTCTCTCTCTCTCTGTGTGTGTATATGTGAGCGTGTGCGTGGGCACCCGTTACTCCTCCCTCTCACCCCCCCTACCCGTCCGATCACTCCCACGCTCGCTTGGTCCCCTTTGCAACAAGCAGTAGAGAAGGCAAGGTCTGCAGTGACTGGCAAGGAAGGAAGAAACCCTAAGTCGAGAACCGACGGGAGCGCCACGTGGCACGAGCTCTACGATTTGGCTTGACCAACGAGACGTGCCACCGTGAGCGTCCACGTGATTAGACCCTAATAATTCCCTAAGGTTCCGGAGTAGGGGAAGCTGCAAGACACAGGGACGCTGTGTTCAGGTCACGTCACGAGGCTGGGTGATCAATTCAATTCCACCTACCGTAATTCACTCTCGCCGCCCTCCTCCTCCTCCTACTACTCTTGTCTCACTCGGTTCCCGCGCAACTGGCCCTGCCCTGGCAATCATATCCATCCACAAGTCCACCCTCCTCTTCTTCGCTAAATCCCCAACCCCCTCCCCCTCCCCTCCCCTCAAACGCAGCCGCGTCGTCTTCCGCTTCCTCTTCCCTCTCTAACCTTCTCCTAACCGAGCAAGAACCAATCCTTCCTCTCCCTCTCTCTCCCTTCTCTGCTCTCTCTCTCTCTCCTCTCTCTCTCTCTCTCTCTCCTCGCCCTCCACACCTTTAAGAAATGACTTTCCCTCCCCTGACGTATCGAACCCGATCGGCGCGCAACTGACCAGATCAGACCGGACCCGACACAGGGCACCCCGTCTGATCGCAGCACGGGCCCCCTCCTCCTCCTCCTCCTCCCTCTTTCCCGCCCTGCCCGACCTTAGCGGCGCAGGGACATTCTAAAGAAAAATATGGATGCAATACTGGTCCCAATTCTCGAAAGAAAAAAAACAAAACAAAAAGAAAAAGTGGTCCCAATCCATTCAAAATGTCTTTTTTTAAATCTGATTGTAGGCGGATTCGAACCTAGGGTCTGTATGTCAACAGTTCGTTGGGAAGCCATTCGAAATGTCAAAATGTTCCATCAGCCCGAACAGACAGGCGGCGTACAATTTATTTTAATTTTTATTTTTTATTTCTTTTGGCGGCATATATTTCCATGTTTCTTTTTTTTTTACAGCGGCGGGAGATTCTTTCTCTTTTTGCGAATTTTTGGTAAGCGGTGCGGCGAGGTCCCGCCGGAGTCCCACTTAGCTGGATTCTTCCTGTCGATCTGCAATCTTCGAGATCGACGGTCCAGAATGCAGAGTCCTGGCAAAGAGAGGGACCACCCGCCGGTAGTACCGGAAGTAGGTTCACCAACCAACCAGTTCGGGCCTCGCTCCACTACACAGCAATATATATGCATCTGGATGGCATCTCGACCAGGTGCATTTGGACGAGTGCAAATTTCTTGAAGAATGCGTCCGCGGCCGAAAGAGTCCGAATGCATGCAGAGTGTTGTGTAGTGGAGCGACGGCTCTTCGCGCCCTCTGGGCCTTACCCGAGAAATCAAGAAACCTCTTCTGCACAAAATGAAGAATGCATGTTGCCGTTGAATGTGGACATATACGTCGTTTTTGCACTTTTCACATTCGGTGAGTTGCACGGCGAGCCCCTATGCCCCGCCTTCACCAAGTCCGCTGCGCGCTTTTCCCCTCATCCCGCGCCATCGCAGGGTTTCTCACGGGAAAAAGTGTCCAACCGTCGGGGGGCAAGTCCCGCTAGCAGCGTTGTTAAATTCCTCAAACCCTGAATCTGGACGCTTTTGTCGAGATGTGCAGAAATGGTGTTGAGTTTCCTGAACTGCACGTCTCCACAAACACGTCCAGATTCGGGCGTTGAGGAATTTAAACTCAACGCTGCTAGTGGGACTTTGCACAATCGGTCGGTGAGTGGTGCGGCGAGACCAAGCGACAGCACCCCCACAAAGGGCGTGGCGAGGCCCAAAGACATCAGGGGAAAAAAAAAAGAAAAAAAAAAGCATAAACCGAACGTGTAAACGGCAAAACATGGCGAGTGAATGAGAAAAAAAAGAAATGCTGATGGCGATTTGATGTGTGTTAAAAAAAAAAAAGAAAAAAAAAAAAACATGGCGAGTGCACCTATCCACTTCCTAGCGGAAGATACATAGCGTTTCTCGTTTGACGCAATCCCATTTGGTCAGTAGTGCAGCGGTAAACCCATGTCCCGATTGACACTCGCAGTGCCCCTGAAGCTAGATCCCACTTGCGCAGATTAAGCGATTTTACCGTCGATCTCTGTATCTACGGATGGAAAAAAAAAAAAAAAAGAGTGGCATCTCTCAGGGAGTGGGCTGCAGCAGTCGAATTTACAGTACGTGAAGTACAGCTTCACGTGCGAGCACCTGTCCTGCCCACATCATACCCCCGCTAATGGCCACGAAGTGACATCAGCAACTGCAACGGACCGCAGCGTGAACCTCTTTTCTTTCGCTTTATTCTTTTTTTTCCCTTTTCTAAAGGCTAATTACCTGTCGAATCTGCAACTATGGAACTATAGCAAAAACCTCGTCTATTCGATGTGGGCCCTACATCTCCATCCACACCCATTATTGGCCTCATTATCTTCTTTTTGTTTTTTTCACTCTTCTCTCAATTTTTCCTCACACTACCTACCTACCACTACTCCAACCTATAGGCATACGGGGAAACCCGTAGGGGAGGGGCCTGAGGGGAGGCACGGGGGATTGGTCCGCTTTATCCCTGGTGCTACCGGCCGTCCCCTGGGGGATCCAGTGGTCTATCTCTTGGGTAGCGGGTGCCAAGTAAGCCCAGGAAGGCATGACGCCAATGGGGATTGAACCCATGACCTCCTGAATGCCACTTGCGAGCCTTACCAACTGAGCTAGGCCGCTTTCTTTTTTTTTTCTTCTTTTTTTTCTGGGAAAAGAGAGGAGTCCATTTTCATGAAGACAATGAGGCCGGGGGGGCGCTGGTTCGCGACGCTAATTTTAGCGCTCGGTCCCGCCGCCACCGGCTTCAGCCAGTCTAGCCGCCCCATGTCAGCTATCGAAGTTGACGATAGGGTTTGCATGGTGGCCGAGGAGACGACACTGAACGTCACCGTACACCATGCAGGCTAGCCTACCGTACCTGCCATATCTTCAATACAGCTTGCAGACAATGATCAGAGATTATGCGCAAGATGGTTTAATCTCGTAATTAAAGTTGACGAAAGGATAAGCAGATGAGGCGAGGCACTCCAATATCGTGGAAGCAAGTCAACTGAAGGCAACCAAAAGACAAGGTACTACTCTACAGAGAACGAGGAACGGCCAGGACTAGCGAATGGAGGAAGTAACTACACCGAACGACGAATCCAAGATGGAGGAGGGAGGCACTGCAGCGGTGACAGGTGTTGGAGGAGGAGCAAGACCACATGGCGGTGACGTGAGCATAGTAGGAGAGAACGAGGCAGCTCAACAAGGAACAACAACACCCCAGGCTCAAGGAGAAGATGAAGGAAAAGAGCAGAATCGCTCTCCTCCACCGGCCCACACAAATTATTGGCCAGAGGAGGAAAGGGTTAGAGACATGCTGTCGAAATGCTATGATGCGGGGATAATCCCATCTGGATGGGATATTGGGGAGCTGAGAGAGGACGGTAATAAGGAGCACTTTGCCCTTAATCCATCTTTGGACGAGATTAAGATGAAGTGGTTGAAGGAACGGACTGTTACAGTCATCTTTAAAGAAGGCTAAAAAAATCTACCAAAGAAGCTGAAGGAAGAAGTGATCAGAGTCTTCGAAGATATTTGGTTGGGGGAGAAGAGATTCGATGAAGCAGTTACAAGGGGACGAGTATGCATTGAATCCAGCAACGTGCTCTCATATGTGGCCAAAGACAAAGCGGTAATGGAATGGATGTTGGACGAGAGAAAAATGAGAGTGGCACTAAGGGGAAGATGACACTCTATTGTGTTTAAGCCATGGATGACAAAGATGGAGATTCAAGACGCGAGACGTGAAGAGGATAGACAATATTTTCGGATCAGAGTCATTGACGTGTCGTTGGACGCTTACTGCTACCTTGAGGCGGCTGCCGAGAGTGCGATTGGACCCGTTCATAAGGTTTACCCGCTGGAAAAGGATGCACGTACACCAAGAATTATTAACGTCCGTTTGGACATCGCAATCGAAGCATTACCAAGGCTGAAGGAGACATTTGAGTTCACTACCTTTCAAGGGCAGACCACCGAGGTCCAAATTGCGCATGCAAGGACTCCATGGTGTAGTAAATATCGAAGATTTTTTCACTTGGCGGACCAATGCCCCAAACGTCAACGAAGAAGGTCCCCGAGTCCTACTCCGTCTCAGGCATCGTCAACAAGTAGCTCAAGACAACCCAACTCTCATCACTCCAGGGGCTCCTCTATGGCTGCTTCATCGAAGCACTCTAAAGGCGAATCCTCCAAAGCAGCCTCCTCGGCCTGAAGAACCAAGGCGCCGTCGTATTCGGAAGTTTTAGGGGCGGGGAACGAAACTGGGCAGGGAGAAGCGACTTTGCCACTGCAACCGGCAG